CCCCAAAACCCCAAAACCCCGACAGAAAAGTTAATAGTGAGGATAGACAAAATATTTAAAATTCCAAGGTAAATAATTCTAGTTTCGTTAATTTGTTAATTAATTGCTTTAATCAATGGAGATCCATCATCAATAAACATAGCCTATGACTAGTAAACATCAAACAATGGCGCCTCTCTAGTCTTTGTTTGCTAAAAATAACAGAAAGCTTTATAACTCACGCACACAACTTTCAGAATTAGATTTATATGATGATAATATAGTCGAAATAGGTAGTGGCACTCCCAGAAATAATAAGAATGAGAATAGCAGTTCTAACTTCAATGAGAATATGTCTACTAATTCCCCAAATAAAATGCTTTCAAGATTCAATCCTAATCCAAAGAAGCATATTCAAAGTAAAATTGAGTATTTGATTCTCCCTTATAACCAAAAGCTGCAAAGCTACAAACATATGAAGTTTGAAGAAGATAAGGAGATTGAGTTTGATCTAACAATACTTGACAAAAAGTATATTAAACTGTTATAACTTTTCTAATTATAGAGAGCAGGAATTTCAGAAAAATAATGAATAGCCAGGAAGCAAGGAGAGATATGTGTATTGGAGTGCATCTATAGGCTGGCACAAAATCCATGATGTTGTTCTTAATTAAGAAAAATTTATGTTTGACTCCATGATAAATCACGTAAAAAAGGCAAAGGATCTAAGCTTAATTAGAAAGGAATAAAAATTGCAGAGCTAAAAAAAGCCAAAACATGATAAAATGAAACCTAGAAATTCAAAAAGAATTATATTAATTAAAGGAATGAAAAACGGTCAAAGTAATGGGTCAGCTAGCAGATTAATGCTGGCCACTTCTAGAGATAAACTTTAGCCGTTTGTGTAAAGTTTAGATAGAGGTATTTTTTCCGTATTTATATAATTTAATCAGCGAGTGTTCAAAGTGGAGATAAGAAAGTGTAGTTTAGGAAAAATTCCGATTAAAAACCTCTAGATGTGGATTCAGAAAAGTCTGATAGAGTGAGACTTAAAGTCGTTAAAAAGTTTGATCCAAGGTTAGCAAGAAGAAGTGTTGAAGAAACTATAAAAGATGACAAAAAGATTCATGTTTAAAGAAGTATCTAAGATATTATAACTTATTAATTCCAATTTAGGCAAATTTCAAAAGCCTCAAGGTAGAGTAACGTAGGAGGATGTATTAAATCCTGATTCGGATAATACTAAAAATGCATCGTAGGACTTTCGACTAGACTCAGCAAAATTTTCAATATCAAAATTTTCTGAAGAATTGCCAGGAATATTTGTGGAAAAACTTGAACACAACGGAAATGACACGATATATTAGAGTATAAGAGAAGATGATATGACTGCTGATGGGAAGCAAGACAAAAATACTATCATAATATTTTAAGAGTAGATAATGGAAATGTCTCCTAAAAGTAAGAAAATTTCTGAAAAGATGACTCCAAAAAGATTATCCACAAAGCTAAGAGGCGAGATTCATGACTATAGATAGAAAAACTTTAGAAATTTAATTAAAAGTTTTGAATCTCGAGATTTCGAAGAGTATAATTTAAAAATTTAAACCGGAAGAAAATCTAAATTCTTGAATTAGGGTACATATCAACCTAGTCATAGAAAGAAAGAATTCTTCAAAAGTTAAAGAAACTCTATCCTAAATTAATCAATACTAGCACCTATAGTTAAATTGAAGCAAGAGAAAAGAGATGAAGAAATCAGATAGAGTGTTGACAGTTCTTTGAATTATCTACAGTCTACAATAGGAAGTAGTACATTATAAGATTTAAAGAAATCAGAAATTTTTGAGAAAAATTAACAGCAATCATTTTGGAGAAGAATAAATTCTCTTAAGACAAGTCCAAAAAATGACAGACTTAATTCTAATAGAGATAGCATGAAACCATTTAATATTACAACTGCCAATACTATTTTGAATTTTAAAAACGATAGAAACAGAGCAAATTTAATGACTTCCTCGAAAGAAGGAACAATGATGCCATTGATAACAACACCACTAAGTATATTTTCACCTCCGACTACATCCCAACGCTAAAATGAGACAGAGAGAAAGTATACAACATTATCAGCAATGACATTCTCGAAAAGAACCCATAACCCTTCTACAAATCTAAATCAATAGTAAAGCAAGGCAGTTAAAATTAATACTGATTTTATGCTAATATCAGACAATAAATCTTTGATGAATTCAGCTTTTAAATCAAAAGCATCTAATTCTTTTAAGGAGAATGAATGTGATACTTATATTAATAAAAGACGGAGAAGTATAGATCAATTCGTAGGTGATCTTAATAAGCAGGAGTAGAGCAAGATCTAGAATATGCTACTAGATAATAACTTTAAAGAGAATGATTTTGGTAACTATATAAATTTAAAGGGCCATTTAAGAAGAAAGAAAATGATTCAAAATTAGATTAATAATTCACATGTTTGAGATAAGATTTATATCATAAAGCACTTCTCTCTAAACCCATTAATTTGAAGGAAAGCAACTAAGCATACATTAATATATTTATTTCTTATTCTAGTTAGATTTATTAGACTTAATTAAATCTTGATTTAATAATTGGCACTTTCGGGGTTTTGGGGTTTTGGGGTTTTGGGG